AGAAACAGGGCCTGAGGTTCCAGATTTCAGATCTAGGAGAGATGCTGCTCAGGACCAGAGTTCAATATTAAGAAAGTGAAATTCACATGGTGGAGGGTAATGTGAAGGTCACAGCATGGTGGGCTAGATGAGGTTGTGATGATGGTGGGAAGCAACCAGGCCCTCAGATGGTGTGTCTCAGAGTTGAAAGGCTTACACCTGCAATGGCAAACTAGCCTGACCAGTTCTTTTGAAATTTCCTTAATAGCCAATATCTTTTCCTTTCTTTTTTTAATTTTAAGGCTTTTTCTTATTGCTGTTGAATCACAGTTGTCCCAGTATTTCCCCTGTTGCTCTCCTCTGTCCTGCCCACACCCCTATTCCTCAGTCAGTCCCAAGTGTGTTGCCCATTATCCTGGGTCCTTAACATGTATGATGTACCTTGGCTAGAGGCTTCCCTTTCTCTCCCCTGGTCTCCCTTCCTCCTTTCCCTCTGGCCACTGACAGTTTGTTCCTTAACCCAAGGTCTCTGGGTCTGTTGTGCTTGTATGTTTATTTGTTAGTTAGTTAGTTAGTTAGTTAGTTAGTTAGTTAGTTAGTTTGTTTGTTTGTTTGTTTCACAATCATGAGTAGACCACAGAGAATCTCCACATGGCACAGGGAAAGATGCATCCTGTGCTCCTGTCCCTCTGCACGTGCCCACAGTGCACAGGCAACTGTGCACTTCAACGCCAGAGAAAAACTGTGAAGTAAGGGAGATGATCTGTGACTGAAACTTGGGAGCCATCGCGTTGGCACCCTTTGAGGTGTGTTAGGGAGTCAAAGCCCATTCTATTAAAATGGCATTCATGATAGGTTGCTGCTGTTGTTGTTCCTGCCATGTGGGAAACTCTAACCCAAGAGTACATTTTAGGGGATAGTGAAATTAATGAAAATAGGCCAGGATTGTTTGGAAGGAAGGTCAGCTAGCTGGGAAGAGAGTGAGTGCTGGAAACAAAGTTTCGAACATTAGAACAGTATTCAGCTGAAAAAACTCCCCTACACTCAAAATATGATTTAATCGGGAGAGGGGAGAATGTATTCCCAGATTTTTCTCAACAGCTCTCTGGACAGATTTTGGTATCAAAGGTACTAAAGCGATACATATTTGCTGATATCTACTGAATATTTTTGTATTTCTTTAAGGTGAGTGTTATTGCCTGATGTCGAAATAATTGTAATGAGAGATATCAAATATTGTGCAAAATCCCAATGAATTCCAGGCACTATACACATTTTTTTCACACACATGGAACCCCACTCATGAACCCTACCACAGAGGGCTTTAAAAAACCCACGACAAATGCAGAACCTGAAACTCATATCAACAACTAGGTGACAGCACTGGCACTAGGTCCCCTAGTCTGCATCTCTACTACCCCAAAGGACACCTCAGGTGGTAGAAAGGAAGACCTTGTGACCAAAACACTGGATGGACTACATAACAAGAGCAGTTAGAATACACACACAAATAGCAGACACGAATAAAGGAGAGATCATGCTTAGTGACAATATGATCAGCTACATGTGCAATATCACATACTGTCAAAACATCAGTCAGGGCTCACACACATCAAGCTCTACCCTTCTATGCTCCCTAAGCCAGGCTCATGAAAAGAAAGAATGTATCAGCTTTCTTTTCTCAGACAGCACAGCACATGGGCTCTGATATGCACTTCAGTTTCCTAACTCTACATTGCTGGGTGAGGGGACCCATTTTCTGCAGGTTTGCAATAAGGCAAATGCTCAAGTACTAGCAGGGAGGTGTCACCACCCAAGACGCCACTATTCAAGAGACAGGTGCCAAGTTCAGGATTCCCATGGCTGAAAGGTGAGGAAACAATCAGGCCAAATTAAGTGGATCAAAGAAAATATTAAGGAGGGTATCTCAGTTCCATACAAGGAGTCCAAGGCTCTGGAACATATGCTGAGGAACCTGCCTAGGGAGGAGTAAGGGACTAAGCCAGAACCTGAAGTCCTAGACTCACACCCTTATTGGATCTCCTTGGTAGCCTTGAAGGACAAAGATCGCATGAGGATGACCTTCATTTCCAACTTGGAATTCCCAGAAAAGTGCGATATTAATGTAACATGAGCAGAGTCAAGAAATCAAAGGCTAAAGTTACAGGACTGTTCACCTGTCAAAGTAAGGATCCCGAAGTGGATGGACTAAGGGTAGCACCCAGAGCATGAAAAGGAGGTCCCACAAAATTGGTGCTGTCACACCCGAAAGACGTGGCAGAGACGTCAGGCTGACTTGACTCTGGACAGTCTCAGGGAGGTCAAATCTTGGTGTAATGCAGACCATTTTCGGCTGGAAGAGGTAATGACAGGATCTCTAACAGGAATCTGTCTATATGAGTATCCTGAGTATTATGAGGGGCAGCGTAAAAAAAAAAAAAAAACGGGGGATCACATAGAAACCAGGACTTTCCATGACCTTGGGGAAGCCAGAAAAACGACCACTGAGAGTCCACGCTTTCTTCGGGGGTGATCTCTGGGACGGAAGGGCCTTGCCCTATAGAACTGAAACCCATAATTGCAAAGACAGGAATCTTGCCCCGAGATGAGGCAAGGACCCTCAGTGCTAAAGGAGAAGATCACCCCCACGACCCCAGTATCTTGTTGAAGCCCTACCCTAGTGTGTGGCCTGCCAGGCCCAGGCCAAACATAGGCAGCTGTCCACTGAACTGCCACCTGGAACTCAGGACAGAGCAGATGGTGTGCAGCCGGGACCACCCATGTCACTAGAGGGTCAAGCCGAGGCTCTGAAGACACAAAAGTAGGGACCCTGAGTGAGGACCTGGGGCCCTCCCACTCCTAAGCAGTGGGGTCCCCCGGTTCCCCAGCCCACCTGCCGCGGGGCTCTCAGTTCTCAGGCACCCCAGACAGCCCTGCCAGTTAGGACCCACCCACTTCCGCCTTAGAGCCAGGGTCTTTCCCGGTGCGCCCAGGCCGCTGCTTTCCGGTTCAGGGCGGATTCTCAGGATGCGCCTGGAGTCAACCTGAGGACCTACAGGGCGACCTTCGGAAACCACAGCTCTCCAAGAGGGTAGGTGAGCCCACCCCGACCCAGGCTTGCCTTCTGATGAGAGCCATCGGGCTGAATGCGGCCTCAAATGTGTTAATAAGAGGGTCATCCGTGCTCCGTTAGTGTGCACTGATGTGGTAGGTCTGACCTGCTTTCGAGAAGAGGGGCTAAGTGCTTAAGATTTCTCTTCTTTATTCTTTTTAGCTTTAAGTTTCTGTCATTTTGTTCTCTTTTTTCATTTAGGCCATATTTCTTTGGTCCCTTTTTCGTCATCCTCATTCCATTTCTAATAATAGTCAGCGGTGCTTTACTTCTTCTGTGTCTTGGTAGTGTTGCCTAATATAGTAAGTTTCCTGTACCATCTAGTTGCAGAGCACCTTTGTCCCGCAAGCTGAGTCCTCCCAGCTGTGCCCTCCTTGTGAGTCGAGCACGCCCTCCTCTTGTAGTTGGGTCTTGATTGCTTCAGCAGGCTAATGGAAGTTACTTACCCAGTCCATACAGTTTGGTAGGGCTGGTACTGACGACGGGTCAATAACCATCTCCCACCAAGGGACTGGTTAGTGGTGCTCTCACGTGGTTTGTAGCTGTCCACTGGATCCACAGGCTCTGAGGTTTCCTGTTTGGTGTGGGCCAAGGTCAGCCACCATGAGTGTTCTGTCTGGGGTTACTTGGCATAAGCTGTGAAGTGATCTGCAAATGGCTTGTGCTAGTGCCCGGCCTGGGCCTACTCAGAGAGAGGGAGAGGGGCATGGCTCAGCTGTCGGCTTGTTTGAGCAGATTTAGGAGGGTCTGTAGCAAGAGCCTATACCAGGCAGTCATATGGAAAACCACTGTTACCAGCTAGGGTGGGCCATAAACTTGAATGGGACAGAGCCTTAGATAATCAGTAGAGCAGAACTAACCGTTGTCAGCCAGGTTGATGGAGTCTCATCTCAGATATGGTGCCACAGTGCTGTGGCTTTGTGTGGGAGTGCTAAGAAATGGAATAATGGCTGCTATCTGCAGTTCTGCCCAGGACGAAGCTGTCACCCAGCTGTCACTCTGATGCCAGACACTTCAGTTGCTCCCCCTATGCCATTGGTTCCCTTCCAGGTGCTGCCCTGGTGCTGAAGCCCAGAGGGAGTGATCTTAGTGAGTCCACGTGTGAGGACATTCCAAGAGGAGTCGTCTGAGATTCCCACAGTTTCTTCTGCTGACTGAACCCCCACTGGTTTACAGCCAGAAATTATGGGGACTTACCATCCTAGCCCTGGAACTGTGGGCTGGGGTGTCTGTATATAACCCTCTTATTTTTATGGTATTGTGTTGGTAAGAGCCTTTCTAAGCAGAGGGACATCAGATTAGCAGAGGCAGATGTCCAAGACCTTACCTAGAGTAAAGGTGAGAACCCTGAATGAGGACTTAGGGCGCCACCATGCTCAACACAATGAGTCCCATGGAGCTGTCAGCTGTGGATGTCCCCTGGCAAAGATGGTGGGTTGGGGTGCTCATTTGGATCCTATTACAATGCCAAGAAGATGAGGACCTGGGTTTTAGGTATAAATGTAGAGAAGCCCAGAGGAGAGGTGCAGGCCATGCTAAAAGTGGATATGGTGGTCTGAAATGGGAATGGAGAAGACCCCCACACTCTGTAGCAGACAGGGCTCCACAGAGACTAGACTTGCCTGCTTCTGCTGTCAGGCCTCCTAAGCAGTGGGCAGGACTGCTTGGCTGGAGGCTGAGGTTAACTTTAATGGTTTCCAGGAGGTTCTCAGGGGACAGGTTGGTCAGAGCAGAAGCTCTGTAGGTGTCTAGAACACTTCCCTCTAGGAAAGATACAGAAGTGGCCTTCTTAAAGGTCAAGGTAACATAACCCTGATGAAGTTACTCAACCCTCTCATCTTCTCTCCTCTCATGCCCAGGTTGTCTGCTGTCCCACCTGTTCTTTTGACTACTGTCCTTGACAGTCATCATGCCTCGGGGTCATAAAAGGAAGCTCCGTATCTCTGCAGAACACCACCAGGCCCAAAGTGCAACCAAACGTCTGGGGAATGCCAAGGAGGAAGCACTGGCCTCCTCATCCCCTCCTCCAGAAGCTGCCACTCAGAGGAAGCCTGGTGCTAGGTCACAGAGCCCTATCAGGTGGCTTCAGAGAGCCCTGTCCATCATCACGAAGTCTGCAGGTGTTTCAAATGTAGGATTATCTGAAGGAGCCAACCACAAAATGGAGGACAAGCCAAGTTCCTCCAAGGCCCCACCTTCCATGACACAGTCTCAGAGAGACCGTTGGACTGAAATGACCTGTACGGTGGTGCAGTTCCTGATGCAGATGTACAAAATGAAACAGCCTATTAGGAAAGCAGATATGCTGAAAATTGTCAGTAAAAAGTACAAAAATCTCTTCCATGAGATCCTCAGAAGAGTGTATTCCAGTAAGGAGGTGGTATTTGGTGCTGGCTTAAAGGAAGTTGATGCCATGCAGCATTCCTCTACCCTGGTCAGCAAAATGGATCTCCCCAACAATGTGAGGGTGAGTGGTGGCAGAAGGGGATTCCCCAAGTATGGTCTCCTGATGAATATCCTGAGCATGATCTTCAAGAACAGCAATTGCAGCACTGAGCGGAAGATCTGTGAATTCCTGAACAACATGACACTATATGCTGGAAAGAGGCATTTTCCATTTAAGGAGCCAAAGAAAGTCATCACCCAAGATTCTATGAAGCTCAAGTACCTGGAGTACCGCCGGGTGCCCAACAGTGATCCTCCACGTTACGAGTTCCTGTGGGCTCCAAGAGCCCATGCCGAGACCAGCAAAATGAGAGTGCTGGAGTTTGGGGCCAAGATTAATCACACGATCCCCAGTGCCTTTTTTGTATGGGTGTGAAGAGGCTTTCTGAGATGAGGAAAAGCCCAAGCCACAATGCCATGAAGGGCTGGCACCAATGTCATGGCAGTGATCGATTGGGCCACATCAAGCAGCTGCTCCCACAGCTGGTGAACTTGAGGTTGATTCTGCATTCTGTAGTTGAAGAGAGCAGTCAGTGTTCCAAGCAGTGGAAAGCTGGGTGTGACAGGAAACACAAGGTAAAATACCTTAGTGTTCCTATTCATGTAGGTGATTTGAAGATTCATCTGTATTTTTACTTTGTCCTGTTTTTAGTGGATTTACTCCTAAATAAAGGTTTGTTTGTCACTGCAATCTAAGTTAATTATATTGGACACACTTGTTGTTTATTAGGTTTAAGAGTGAGAGGTTTGTTGTTTTTTAAAACTAGTTGGGAAAACTTCCATCTTGTCAAGTGATCTGGTGCTAGGTAACATGCTTTTCCTTGAAAATGTAAAGATATAAAGCAGTAAAATATGTAATCACACAATAGACAAAAACTAATATTGTCAATATTGCATTCTCAATCCTTTTAGTCTGTTTTTCATAGAGTTAAAAAAACAGCATGTACTTGACTTATCATAGAATGTAGTGAAATAAGCCAGTCAGTGAAAGACAAATATGATAACATCTTATGTATAAGAGGGATCTAATGAACAAAATAAACTAATGAACAAAATGGAACCACAGGCATAGAAACATGGAACAGACTGCAAGTGACCAGAGAAACAGGAGAGTGTAATAATGGTGGAAAGAAGGGGAAGGGAGTAGACAAATAACATGTATGAATGACCCACAGACATGAACAACAGTGTAGGGATTGACTGTGGGAGCAGAACGGGGGGACTGGGATAGGAGAAGGAGGGCAAAGTGGTAAAAAAAAATGGCACAACAGTAATACAGTAACAATTAAAAATTATTTTGTAAAGTAAAAAGGTGTAGAATTAAACTGTTATAAATTAGCCTCCATGCCCACAGGCTCATTTGGTCTGAAAACTGTAATTGCATATTAAGGCTCCATGTTAATGCTGGGAGAGTAGAAAAGAAGACCTAGCCACAGCCCCTAAACATTATAGTGCCAAGCACCAACTACCATATTGGGTAAATGGTAATACACAATGTAAGAGCCACAAAACAAATGAAATGACAGGGTGGGAACAGAGAAGGGGGTTTCTAGAGATCAGTGAAGTGCAAATGCCCTGAGGCAAGACAGTATTGGATCTCGGGAAAAGGAAAGTCCCTCAATGGGAGGGAATTTCATTTAGCTGTATGGTGGGTGAGATGATGCTGTGGAAATTGTGAGCAGAAGACAGACCCTCAGATAGACGGCAGGCCACATAGTTGAAGACAAAGTCTGGAATGGGAAACTGCACTTAACAGTTACTTTGAAATTCCAAGTAAATGGCACAGAGATTACCTGGGGCAGGGATGGGACAGGCCCTGTGCAGGTGAACACAGTGTATAAGTCACGTATGTTAGTCACGTGGTCTCCAGGGAATCCTTAAGAAATAAGTGTGATGCTCCTTTTAGGAAGGAATGCCCAGAATTCACTGGACTGACACTCTGCTTTGAGATAGAGGAGTCTGAGTGTCCCTTTGAAAAAACATTTGCATTAGGTTTCCTTGTGTGTCATGTGGCCAACTCTAGGCAAGGTTACATTGTTCCTGGTGGTTAAACAATTGAAACTAGGAGTGGCCTAGAAAGAAGGGAGGCAGAGAAGGGGGCAAGACTTTGATCCTTGAAACACATTTTGAGAGTTTTCTGGTACAGCTATTGAGGAAGTCTACCTCACATGAATGGACATTGAAAGACATACTCTAAGGGAGGAGGGGAGAATGTGGCTGAGTTCTCCTTGCTAAGCAGCACTTTGCCTGATAGGGTTTGCTTTGGCCTAGAGCACTGATACTCTCTGACCTCTCCTGGATTAAAAACTCGATCTCAGTGTAGTGGCTTGAATCCCAGGGGACAAAATCATCATGGCAGGAACTGGCATCCCTTACAGTCAATACAGGCTGGGCACTTTATGTGCATTATATACCTTCTACGGGCCCCCAAGATGGAGCTTATCAAACCCGTTGCACTGAAGAGGAGACTGAGGTTCATAGCATTTGCTAATGTGCCTGATTGCATATGACTGTTAAGAGAAAGAGTAGGAACTAGACTCCTGGCCCGAATTAGTCTGAAGCGCACAGTTTTCCTCCCCTCTCAAGCTGAGGTCACCTTTGAGTCCCTTCATTCACCTTCTCACTTCTCACAAATGGATCTTAAGTGATTTAAAAAAGGAGTCTGTGCCCAAGACTGTAGATTGAAAGACATACCAGAGTAATAAGAATCTTTGAAATAACTGACACATGCGAATAAAGGAGAGGCAGAATATTTGCTGACAAGATGATCAATTACATATGCAAGATGAGTGCACCTCAAAACATCAGGGGTTCATAAAACCATTTTGGACAGTGTGTTCTGGATAGAAATTTAAATATACTCAAACATAAGTGACACGATGCCCGAGTCTAGCTGGAAAAGGAATAAATATGTCAAAGCATTCTTTTTTCATTAACATGACATCTGTCCTGGGGTCTGTGCCTGGTGTTACAGCACACCTATCTCACGTTATTCCTGAGGCAGGGAGCCATTCTCTGAGAAGTGTGCAACTGGAAAACTCACCAGGAGGTTATAGAGATGTGGTCTTTATCAGAAAAGTTTTAATCAAGAAATGGTAGTCATAAGAAAGATTCCCTTACTGGACTGGGAAGAGTAACCTGCCAGGCAATTGTCGGCTTGTGCATCCCTCACTTATTCTTCAAGGCTCTCAGGGACTTGTGAGACAACTTTAGGAAGATAGCCTGAGACCACTAGAGGGAAGGGTCCTAGTCTCCGACACATGAAAGTGAGGAATGAATTCCCTGAATGAAGAATTAGTGGAGGAATGAAATCTCTGAGTGAACAATGAGGGGAGCACCCACACAGAACAGTGAGGCCCATAGACACCTGATTTGTCATTCAGCCCTCAGAGTGCTGAAACAGCCTTGACAACACATGACCAAACCTGACTTCCCTTTCAGAGGTCAAGAAGGTAAAGACCTTGTTTTGAGGTTCATCGATGCTGGTGAGTAGAGGTAGGATTTCCAAGGTGTGCCAGGAGGAAGGTGAGTACCATGAAGATTTCAGAGACCACCAAACTCTTATCAATGGAGGCATCACCAAAATCCTTCCGTTCCATTGGCATGAGAGATCCAGGAATAAGTGTCAGGCAGAGAGGGTCTCAGATCCTTCTCAGGGGTAATGAAGGAGTTGCAGTGTGATCAGAGGACTGAGACACTTCATTCTCGGTATTGTACCTTTTGGGAGTTTAACAAATGTATGATGGCTTGTAGCCACATTATAGTTTCATGCACTGTAGTTTCACTGCCTTAAAAATGCTCTGTGCACCACCTGTTCATCCCTCCTTACCTCCTAAGCCCCGGCAACTGCTGGCCTTTTCACTTTCCCTATAGGGCTTGCTTTTCCAGAATATCATATAGTAGGAACTACACAGAATGTAGCCTTTTAAGATTGGCCTGTTTCATGTAGTAATTTATATTTAAGCTTCCTGTATGTCCTTGTATAGCTTGAAACCTCATATCTTTTCTCCAGAGGTACCACAGTTTAGGAATCCATAAGCTCCTGAAAGACATCTTGGTTGATTTTAAGATTTGGCAATTATGAATACAGCTACTATAAACGTGTATGCAGGGTTTTAAAGTTTCATTTATTTTTAATTTGGGGGGTACAATTTACATTTAGTATTATCTTGTGCAGATGATTTTTGCAGATATATGTTTTCAACTCATTTGAGCAAGTACCACGATACAATATTGCTAGACAGTATAGTAAGAATAGGTTTATTTGTTTTATTTTAAAAGAACACATTTTAGTGAGTTATGACTGACATACACAAAGCTGTATATATGTTGTACACAAAATCATTACATTGGAGAGTCTTGTGGGGTCAAGAGCAGTGCTGTCAAGAAAACCCGCTGTGGCAGTCTTGGTTAAAGCCAAGGTAGAGCTCTGGCTTAAGGCCCTCACTCCACCACACTCTCCCACCTCTGGGTGAATCATCCACTTGACAAATCACACCAGGCCCAGAATAAGACCCAGGCTCTCAAAGGTTCTCTGGCCACCGTAGCCAGGAAGAGTCCTCTTCTTATCATCTCCTTCTTTGGGGGTGCTCCCTTAGATTTACCCATTGTTAGCATTCCCCAGAGACTCATAGATCCCATTCCACCATCATTACTTCTACAGTAATTTCATGCACAAGTCTGAGGAAGGTTTTAGAAGCCAATGTGAGAAAGTGCAAGTTTCTCTGAGAATACAGGTTGATCCACGGAGAGTGAACTGAAAGATTTTCTTTTCAAGAAGGTGTAGGTGTTGATGCAATTCCTGATGCAGAAATATCAATTGAAGGAGCCTGTTATGAATATATGGGTGCAGAAGACAGTGAACCAAAGGTAAAGGGAACACTTCCTCAAGCCCTTTAGGAGAGCCACTAAGCTCGTGAAGCTGGTGTTTGATCTAGAACTGAACAAAGTCAATCCCAATTGTCACTCCTATAACCTTGTCTCCAAATTGCACACCACCAACTATGTGTGTTTGAGTGATGGCAGGGACTTTGCAAGAATGGGCTTCCAATGACTATCTGAGTATGATCACCTTCAACAATGGCTATGCCACTGAAAAAGAGAATAGGAATTCCTGAACTTTAAGGCATGTATAGTGGGAGTTGGCACTTTTGTTTGGAGATTATTTGAAGCTTGTAGTTCAAGATTTTGTGCAGGAAAAAAAAGCTACAGAAGCAGGAGGTGCCCCCAAATGATTTCCATGCAATGAGTTCCTGTAGGGTCCAAGACTCCATGCGGAAACCACCAAGATGAATTCTGCAGTGTGCATCCAAGGTCAATGATACCATCCCTGCTGCCTTCCCGAGCCCTTATGAAAAGTTTTGAAACATGAGGATT